TATATAAGTAGCAGATTTATTCAAGGCCTTTTATTTTTCCATGATGACTTTTAGACTGCAAGCGTGAAACCAGGACTTTTTTTTTTCTTAATGACCTTTGCGATGAAAATAAGTAAGTTCGAACACCAGGATAATGTTAAACCAAAAACTGTTTAATACAAGTGCTGATTTTTAATGACCTTTATAAGCTGTTCTGGAAATCTTTTTCAGTTGAATAGCAGAGTAAAAAAATGTTTTAAATAAATGAGTAAATTGGGAATTATGATTTAAAGATATACGTTCCCTAGCTCCCTTCACAGAGCTATGATTTCCTTGCAGTTAATGAATTAAATCTAAAGTTTTATTAAGAAATCAAGTATTAGTTTAGTACCAGTAACATAGTGGCATCTAGGGACTAAAAGGAACAGACATCACATAATACAGATTGGAAAAATTACTGCCCATAGTTTTGTTGTCCATTTTTCATGCAAATAAAATGTTTTTGGGCTAAATGTTACAACACAAACTGAGTCCCAGTCTTGAGGGTGGCTGACTGAAATAACTGATCTGTTCTGCAGTTCTACCTTTTCTAAACACTATAAGGCATTGAGCTGGATACAAGCATTGTTTTACTCCAATAATCTCTGTTTGCACTTGACCTAATTAGTCAGCAGTCCTTCAACAGTTTGTACACTCCCGATTAGAACAGTATTTCATGAGATGGTAAAAAGGGAAGGAACTAGAAAGGCAGGGGAAAATATCAAAAACCTCAAACATGGTTTTGCCCTAATTCTTAGCCTTAAGAGGTACGGGAATGGATTTGCTCTGCTATAAGAAAGCACAATCATATCAAAAGCTTCTTAGAGCATGATAAAGCAGGCCATTGTTCTGTTTAACATGTGGTGTAACAATGATTAAATACAAGGGACTATGGTAATATGTGCTTGAAAAGGTCAGTTCCCATTTGCTGATTAAGTCTTGAAACCAAAAACAGAGATGACAAAGATCTACCATGCTTCAGAGGTGTCAATTTTATTCATTTATTTATAAATCCATTATGGCTATATCTGTTTACATGTTACATTTTCTTAAAAAGGTCAAATGGCATGGTATTCAGGGATTGTTATACCAGATACAACTTTGATTTAGAAAGATATTCCAGAAACCACTTTATTTTTCCAGTGTAAGGCATTTGTTTACTTGTTTCATACAGTACATTGAATACCAGAACCCTAAAAATATGCAACCCACATCCTCAAGCCAAGATCTTTTTACAAGGCCAATTAGCTTTCCCCTTGTGCTATTTTCAGACCAACAGGCTAAAATTTACAGTTTATTTCACCTTAAGTCATTTTTCAGATGATAAGAAGTCTCTTTGGTTTTCTTTCTGATGAGTTTCTGGAGACAGCCAATCCCATTCATCAAACTTGAGTGAAAGGGTCACCCCTTTTACTGGCAGTACAGAAGCCATATTTCTGCCTAAGAGCTCAGTGTGTGGGCAAGGAACTTCATTAACAGAGCCAGCTAAATAAGATTTGAGTATATTTCATTTTCTCTGGGTTTATGTATTATCATAAAACCGTAAGGGTTCAAAGAGTCATTGAAACATCACCTCTAATTCAACACCCTGCTGCATATATGATCCTCTATCTCAGTGGTTCTCAACCTTTTTAATGCCGCGACCCCAACCGGTCGTAAGTCGAGGACTAAACCGGTCGTAAGTCAAGGACTAAACCGGTCGTAAGTCGAGGACTTTCCCTGCCCGGGAGCGCCGCGCATGAGTGGTTCCGCCCCCTGCGCTGGCCGAGGCATAGCTGGCAAGCGGCAGAGACGGAGCAGGCCAACCACCAGCTGGCCCAGCTCAAGGGAGGTAAGGCACCCGCCGGAAAAGGGGGAAAAAATGGCGGACAGCCTTGCTTGGCAACCCCCGTGAAATGGTCGATCGACCCCAAATGGGGTCACGACCCATAGATTGAGAACCGCTGCTCTATCTAGATTAACATCTCTGACAGAACGCCATCTAGCTTCTATTTGAAGACTTTTGGCAAAGAAGAAATGATGTCAACCCTATCAGGTAGACTAGACTAAGAAACAGACACCATCCAGATCTAAGCTACTTTATTGGAACAGGTATAGGAACAGAATCTTGTAAGTCGGAATGTGCTTACCTTCCTTTTTCATCTTGATGAGAATTAGCTGGAGGGGAGCACTGTCTGAGACACTTTCTCAAAGTATTTTCTTGGCCTGGGCTCAGGTTTCATTCATCTGAAGATCTTCCTTTTGTACTTCAAGGCCATCCTATTTTTCCGCTACATTCTATCATTTTCTGTGCATCTTACTTCACTGACCTACAGCTCATATAGTGAGAAAGTTCACCTGACATCTAATCTGAATCTAGTTCCTTGTAGTTTTAATAGTTTTAAACCATTGATTCTGGCCTTTCCATCTAGCCTGAGTTTTAAGCTGTTCTTTTTATATCATGAGGAACCCATTTCAAAAGATTTCCTCTTCCTATTACGGATAGACAATTGCAGAGATATTATTTGGAAAGATATTGAAAACATGGTTCTCAATTTCCTATGTAAATGAGTTGTTTTGGATCTCTGCTACCTGATTACTGTATAAACTAATTTAGCAGTTGAATTCCTTGTTACAAACCATAGGACCAATCTGTAAGTCTGGTAAAGCCAGCTAAATGGGTTGTGATGTCTCTAACTGAAATCTCTTGTTCAGAGCCTTCACGGCATTAGAAATACATCAGCTTTCCCCAAACTGGAGTCTCCAAATGTGTTGGCTTATCTCCTATGGAATTCCCAGCCTTCCTTAACAACTCTGGAAGTTTCAGCCCAAATATAGCAGGAAAACATGAAACTGGGGACATACAAATTACAGCACAATGCGGACAGATCGCCTCCATAAATAAAAAAAAAAAAAACTCCTTATCTATGTGTCCTGATTTTTCTAGTAAGCAGTGGGTATTAAAATTCCAACATTTCAAATGTTAATTACAACAAATAGGGGAAGTCACACAGGCTTTGAACTTTTATTATCTTGTTTTACTGCAACAGGGAGAAAGTGACAGAGTGCTCTCTCATATTAAACTGAATGCAAGGAAAAACTGTATATTGACCCAGCTGCCTGATTCATATATAAGGCCTGGCCTCAATCCTGCTAAATTGCAATACCTTTGCAACAGACTTATAATGGCAGCATTATTTTTGACTGTGTGCTGGTGTATACATCCCCATGTCCCCATCAAACCCCCCCCCCCATTGTTTGAGCCCTTGGATACTAATACACATTTTAGAAACAACTCCATATAAATAGTATGAATTCCTTGAACTGGAAAATGAGTCTTTAAAAAAAGAAATTTTAAAATCTGGGTTAAAAACGCTTTATGCAAACATTTGTAATTAACTCATTTTTTTTTAAAAAAATGAGCTTTTAGACAAGTAATATCTTTGTTGCTAATAAATTATTTCCTTTTCCCTTCTCTATTAGCATTCTAGTTTAGCTGAATAGCAGTGTCAGATTCATTTTTTTATTTAACAGATTGGATATGTATCCTTACAAAGTGAAGGCATACAAGTCTGAAGACTGAACATCCATAATGTTCCATAGAGTAGGGTGGCATTTTTTTTAAAGAAGGCCCTGTCATCCATATAAAAACTTGCACATAAAGCAAGAATATATCAACTTTACAGCTTTAAAAGGAAGAGCTTTTCCAGCATCATCAGCTACAAAGTACTTAATCAGATTGTAAATGTAATTGAAAATGTCATAATGTTGAAAATAAAATTCTGATGTTTTCCGTTTCCCTTTTAATAATACTCAGTATATTTATTTGATGAGCTGAGAAAGTTACCTTGCAATACGTATTTCTAGGAAAACAAACAAAAAAGATAGTTAACAAAGATATTTTTTCCTATGCCAACATTATTTTTTACATGTTACAATTATTCTATTCATTTTCTTTCTCCTTTATACTCATTTATAACATTCACTATATGACTAATCAAAAGAGTTCTATAATCCAATTTTGTAGTTGGAAGAAAAGATTTGCATGGTTTCGTATTAGATAAAAAGGGAAAAATGAACTTGTACATGAAAATATGTTTTTTGTACAGGAGAGCTAGCACAAATAAAAATGTAAAAACTGTAAATCAAATAACACTGTAAACAGAGAATTTCATCTATGGTATCTATTTACAACTAGAGAAAGAAGTAAGTTTCATTGAACATATCTCAATGAAAGGATCACAAAGAAAGAATACTTTATCTTAAACCTCTGAGGTCTTAGAAAGCTTTTTTGACAGTTCCTTTTCTAAGTGTGAAATCCTTCGTATTTGATTCTCTCAATTGGTACAGAATAAGAGATACAGCCTTTTAACAATACTGCATTTAAAAAAGACAAGACAAACATGATTTTTTTGAAAAAACAAATACAAATAGTGAATACAATAAAACACTGGCCATTGTGTCAAAGCTTATATTACCAATTGTTATATCTCAACATCCAGAACCATATTAGAAATTTTGGAATTTAATACTATATTTTAAATTGATGAGATGGCAGCAGAGGTCCACTCAAATGTCTGTCTGTCTTTTGCTTTTCATATAGAATGCATCTCAAGAAATATTTAAAACAGTTTAAAGCTAATTTCTCCTATAAAAGTTAAAGATGCACAGATCTCAAAGACGCAATATCATAACATCAGGAACCTTAGATGGAAAATGAAAGAAAGTGCTTCTGAAAGATATGACTTACAATTTCCTTTCTCAGCCTCATTTGTTCATTTCAATGTGCTGAAATACATAGAAAGAACACACTAAAATAAGACTTTTGATCCATCCCTGGGTACATATCCTCTTGGGTTCTGGTTGTGCACTAATATTTTAATTGTTTTATCTCACCTGAAGCCTTTGAAGAGTCAATGCTCAGTAATCAGACAAGATGCCACCCACTTCCAATATCCCGCCAGAGCTGAACCTAAGACTTGCCTTGCAAACAGATCCCTGCTTCACCCAATTCTTTTCCGGTCTATTCTGCAGAGAATCTTTTTAAAGGACCTCCTAAAATCATGGTTGAAGATAGTATAGATGACAGGATTCAGGGAACTGTTGCAATAACCAAACCAGAAGAAGAAGTTGAAGAGGGTATCAGGAACATGGCAGCTGTTGCAAACAGCAGTCAATGTGTAAGTGAAGAAGAAAGGAAACCAGCAGACAACAAAAACTCCAATCACTACTGCAAGTACGAAGGTGAAGCGTTTTTCTCGGTTCTGTCTACCCCTCCATCGTGAAGCTTTGGCATTCCTATCCTCTTCTACTTGGTTAGGCAAATTGTCCCCAGGCTTAATTTGGCAGAGTTTGGTTTTGCCCTTATTTCTGGGGAGCCTTTCTGCTTTCCTAGGCTGAGGGGTGTCATTGTGCTCTGAAGAAGACGTGTCCTCCAGGTCTATACCATTGACTTCTGCTTCCTGGCTCCTTCCTGCCAATGCTGTCTTCCCCCCATTGAGCTTGGTTATTGCAGGCATATCGTCTTTGTCATCCAATCCATTCTGTCTTCTCTCTACAGTCTCCCCTCGCTTGTTGAGAGGCACTCGAGACCTCCTTTTTGCAATCTGGTAGATACGGATGTAGACCAGGATCATGATAAGGCAGGGAGCAAAGAAGGAACCAATGCTAGAACAGATGATGTACCAGGGTTCCTTGTTGATACTGCAGCTTGGCAACTTGTTCTCAGGTTTCAATTCTGTTTGTTCACGGAGCTGACTCTCAGGCTCACCCTGCTTCATAATGGAGATAAGCGGTGGGAAAGAGATGACAGCTGAGATGACCCAAACCAGGAAGATGATGCTTTTGATGCGGCGTGGTGTGCGCTTGAGGTTGTACTCAATGGCCTGCGTAATGGACCAGTAGCGATCCAAGCTGATGGCGCAGAGATGCACAATGGAAGAGGTGCAGAAGAGTACATCCAAAGCCAGGTAGATTTCACACCATACCTTCCCAAAATACCACTGGCCCATCACCTCGTTGGCAAGAGAAAACGGAATGACCAAGGTGGCCACCAGGATGTCTGCTGAGGCCAAGGAAACCAAAAAGAGGTTCTGAGGGGCCCTCAGCATCCGGCTGGTGAAGACAGCAATGATAACTAATACATTGCCAAAAATGGTGAAGAGCATCAGCAGCGTGGCCAGGAAGATGAGGGCTAAGGTAGTGGGCAAGGGGTAAGGAAGGCCCTCTTTCTGCCCGCCATCACTGCCATTCAAACTCCCATTGCCATCCATGTGCTGTGGGTAGCTGTGCTCCAGCTGGAAAGAGGGCACGTGGGCCAGGGAAGCGAATCCCCCTTGCTCTGGGTACGGGCTCTTCAGCTTCAACATGAACCCAGCTTCATGGACGCCACTTGAGACAGGCACACCCTGCGAGGAGGAGGAGGAGGAGGAGGAGATCCCGCACCTGTCTCCCGGCGGGGCTGACCCTTTCTGCAGGCACCGGAAGCCCCCGGAAAGCTCCGGTTCCAATCAGGAGCAAGAGAAGCGCCTTGGCTCAGCTTCCATAACTGCCCCCCGCCTCCGCTTCAGTCATAGCAGACCGCCAGGGCGAGCGGGTCTCTCCTTCCTGGCTTGCCCCACTTCCCCCAGATCGCCCCTCACAAGTCCAGCCGAGGCGGGAGGGGCGCCTTTCAAGAGGCCATTCGCAGCAGGCGGAGCGGGGAGTCCAAAGTTGCTTCTTACCTTCTCCCCGCGAGAGGAGACCTCCGCGGGAGGCGGGCGGCGGAGAGGGGGACGACTCGTTTCTCCCGGCGGAGCAGCTCCTGCATGGGGGCGACGAAGGGCGCCGGTCTTGCTAAGCCGCGGGAGGAAAGAAAAAGCCAGCCCAGGGGCTCCGCCAAACACGCTAAATCGGCCGCCGCCGCCGCCGCCGCCGGTATAGCCAACTACCGCTAAAGGAAGAGCGTCCGTAGCTCAGGGTTTAAAACGGTATAGCCGGGAAGGCAGTGCTCGCTCTCTGGCTGAAGCTCAGCCTTCCGGGCTCCCGGTTCACTTTATAGCCCCCCGATCGGCTCGGCGGTTCAGTGGCTCCGCGTCAGCGCCACGTGGGGACGGCCCCCGGCGCTCTTCCCCGCCTCTGTCTTGCCGCCGCCGAGAGCGGCGGTTCAGCCGGTTGCCTGAGGCTCCTTTACGGTCTTTTTCCCGAAAAGCAGCCGTCCCCTCGCCCCTCGCCTTCCACCTGCCGCTTCCCTCCCGAGAGGAGTCCTGCGCGTACACGCCCACCCGCCAACTTCTCAAAACGACTCGCTCGCACAGGCGCGGCACGCCTCCCTCCGTCCCGCTGGAAGGTTCGAGCTACACACGCACACGCAACTTCTCTGACCCTCCTTTACCGGTATATGCAAAGGCCCTTGCCGCTCGACGGGCTTCCGGACGGCAAGCGTGGAAGTCGAAGCCCAGTTAGTTCAAACGCGGGAGGGCGGGGAGGGGGTTCGATCAAGCGGTTTGTTCGGGCGCCGCACCATAATTTGTTACCCGCGGTTGAGCATTGCGCGCGGGCGTCGCCTGCTATCCGGGCATAGGCGGCGCCGCATCTACCACCATCATCATCTTCTCCCTCCGCCCGCCCCCTTCAATTTTGTTTTTGTTATTTTTATATATATATATTAATTCTAAGTATAAGGAGTTGCCTTTTTTCCTTTTTTGCAAATCACACTGGAAACTTTTAGTTCCAAGAAAGAGGTTCTAAGATTTTTTAATAACATGAATTCACAGTGTAACCACACAGAACCTTGATGTACATATATGCATGTGTTGGATGCTGTTAATTTCAATATTTGAGAGGGTTGGTTTTTTCAGTTATTGAAAAGGCTGATCTCTTTAGTAAAACATATATGTTTCCTGATGCATCACTGTGTACAGTATTCATTGGGACTAGCCCAGCAATGGGCAAACTACGGCCCGCGGGCCGTATACGGCCCGGCGGCCGTTTCAAGCCGGCCCGCAGAGCACTAGAATCACTACATCGTCTTCCGACCACCTTTCTGATCCCAAATCCTTCAATTACCTAGAAATTATCATGATTAAGCAGGAGCTTAGTTTCAACTAGCTATCGCTAACACAGCAGCCAGCGTTTTT